AATTGGAATTGTTGTTGTTGTTGTTGTTGTTGTTGTTGGTTGTTGGTGGTGGTTGGTGGTTGTTGTTGTTGTTGTTGTTGTTGTTGTTGTTGTTGTTGTTGTTGTTGTTGTTGTTGTTGTTTGTAGTAGTAGTAGTTGTAGTAGTAGTAGTAGTTGTTGTAGTAGTAGTAGTAGTAGTAGTAGTAGTTGTAGTAGTAGTAGTAGTAGTAGTAGTAGTAGTAGTACTCGTCGTCATCTTACGTAGGGCAACCCTTGTAAGACTGTAAGAACCCATGAGATGTTTCTCGGCTTTCAACTGCCTTGGCCCTCCCTTTTCAGACTTGGGCCAAGCACTCCTTGGTTGAAGGAGGCTGCCTGAAAATACAGGATTACCCTATGACATTTTGATTTCAGGTGCACCTCTTCCTTCAGGATTTTTGCAGCCGGGCTGGACGAGAGCTTTCTTCAAGAAGCTCCGACGGATGAGCGTAAGCACCGGTATACTCGCGCGAATCTGTGAGAAGTTCATGAAACATGAGTCGCAACAAAGAGTTTAGGGTTGAGCAGGCCAAAGTTTATATGGAGCTGGATACACATGATAGGTTCCAGAACTAAGTTCAAGCGTGAAGCGCGCCGACATCTACGGAGCCCATCTTCGGGAAAGCCCGAAACCACCATAACCTCTGACTCACAGATTGAATGCCCCAAAACCCTAAACCCTAAACCCTAAACCCCAAAACCCTAAACCCCGAACCTTGGCCCGAAACCTTAAACCTTATAGGCCCTAAGCCCGAAACCTCACGCACTCGAACTCCGCAGCACCAAAATTTACACCCCTGGTACCTCAACCCTTTAGGTTTCAGGGTTTCGGGGGCTAGGGTTTACACACATGCCAGGCGGGATTCCGTAGTTGCAGGCCAGGGTTTACGATTTATAACCTTAGTACTCCTAGCTCGCACCCTGAAGCCTATGCTAAACCTACCCTAAACCCTAAACCCTACGCCCTAATTCCTCAATCGTACGTATTCCCAGCCTGGAGCTCTTCCAGCAGCTTCTGTGCAACTTCGGTGCCAAGCTGCCGTGCCGCGAGATCCTGGCAATACGACCCTATTTTTCGGGGTTTGAGGATCAATATCATTCCTCTTGATTCCTGTGTCTAGCTATATTACAATATTCCCTGAAGCCCTAAACTCCCTAAGCCAAACCTAGGATCTTGGCTTTTTTTGGCATGTCACGTCTTGACGTCCAGGCTCAGACTTTGCTTCAGGCTTAATGTTGTGGGCCCATGCTTTAGCACTTGAGGTGTAGCGGCTCAAGCTTTCTATTATTATTGATCCTGTTTGTTCTTTGAAAGTATTCTCTAAATCACGCTTATGTTTTCATCTTTTGTTTTTCTCCGTATTAAGCTTCAATCCCCGACTCCTCAAGCTCTAGCTCTGGGCCCTTGAACCTTCGACCCCATAAAGATCCTAACCTTCGACCCTTTGGCCTCTCGTTGCGAGGCCGAGAATGGTGCCAGCCAGAGCTTTCGGATTTGTTCCCGGGGCACCTGGGCTTTCTCGTTCGGTTCGGGCTGACGCTTTTTGGAGGATTTGCCGGTGTTTTATCGGGTCGTGCAGGGAACTATGAGGCTTTTGTAAGGGGGTTTGGGCGGTCTACCCGTTCTTTGCAGCATCAAAGTCTTTAGGGCTAGAAACTTCGGGCTCAGGGTTTAGAGGTGCGTGGGAAGTTACTCGCGAGGAACCCTAACAGACTCTAACACAGGGTCCTTAATAACTAGTTGTAGTAATCTAGTGTTATCGGGTTATAGTGTTGTAGTAGTTGTAGTAATCTAGTACTACCGGGCTATAGTGTTGTAGTATCTTGTAGTACAGTATTATCTCGTTATATAGTCGTATACTTCGTATTCGTATTTCAGGCCGCTATACCAAACCCTTTCCGTATCCCATAATGACCCGTACAGAAACTCCCTTCTAGTAGCCCTTGTGCAGTAGGGCTCTTTGAAGCAAGGGCAAAGCATAGACCTGCAATACCAATATTTTGACTTCAGGGCCCCGGTATAGGGATTAAGGATTCGAGAAGCATCTGTATTGATCTTGTTGGTGCATCATATTCCTGTGGCTTTGTTGCAGTTGCCGCTTTTTTGCTTTTCTTGATGGACCTGCCGGCGCAATCAACCTCATGACTCATTGGAACTCCAGCTTCAATCAGGCTGCGCGAAGAAGCGTCAGAAAGCTTCGAACGACCCAGAACATATCCCTGGAAACTCTGAGCAGTGCGACTCGTTCCGTGGATGCTACTCTCAGACACATTCTGGAATTGCTCTCCAACCTTCGAAGTCTTCTGGAGCTTTACCAGCCGGTAGCTGCAAGCCTACTGCCCCATCGAAATCCCTTTTTGAAACCGGGCTTGCTGGCTGCGGAAGGCCAAATACTCCCAAATCCCAAGGCCTCGGCCGAAGGCTTCAAGCGATACCATCATAAAACATATCCATGCACGAAGCCTCTCGGGCGTATTGCGACGTATAGCGCTGATGGAACAAAGCCCCTTCAAAGGTCCTACTAAGGGATTTGTACACAAACCCTGACACTAATCCAAACGCGTTCTTAACCTTATGCACTAAGCTAAACGGCATAACTTTGCCCTCCTGGCGAAGTCGCTCGGTTGCTTGTTTTGCGGACCGTCCGCTGCTCGTCAGGGCACCTGACTATCTGTTCAGGACTCAAGGGTTTAGGGTGGTGAGTCTTCGGGTTTATGTGTCCTAAACCCAAAACCATGGCATCAGGGTTGGGGTTTGGGGGACTAAACCCTAAACCCTAAACCCTAAACCCAGGGGCCATTGCGGTTTAGGCTGCTTCAGGTCGGATGTCTTCTACGGCTTGCCCGCGGTCTTCCGGCTTCAGGCTCAGGCTTGCTGTTCTGCACGAACAGTCAAGCTCAAGAGGAAGAAGGGCCTGAGAATTAATCACTAGGGTCTAGGGTTTAGGGTTGAAGGGCCTGATAATTAAAAACCAGAAGAGGGTTTTTGACGCATACTACACAGTGATCACAACAGGGTTAGCTAAGATATGGTGTTGCAGATTTTTCAGGTCCGTAACGCCGTTTGTTAAGTCCTAAACCCTGCATGCCTCTGGGGAACCCTAAACCCTCTTTACACAGGCTTGATTCCATAAACCCTAAACCCGAAGAAGTCTTCCATCAAACTGCCGACAGGCCTTCCGAGGCTCTACGATTCTCGGGCGCAGGTTCAGGAAAAGTGGGGTTTAGAGTTTAGGAGTTAAGGGTCTAGTTGTTTAGACCTTTTTTCAACCCCCAACCTTAAACCCGAAAGCTTACACCCTAAACCCTAAACCTTAAACCCTAAACCTTACATTTACCGACCAGGCCTGGGTTTCGGCCCTGGGAATCACGCCCTCACAGATTCACTGGCCTAAATGCCTGAAACCCCCTTAGTATAGGGGTCTTCATAATTAGAATAGGGTTCCTTTCAGGGTTCGTTTTAAAGGTTATTGTAAGGTCTATGATATAGGAGCCTTCATAATGAGAATGGGGTTCCTTGAATGGTTCCTTTTCAGGGTTATGACAAGGTCTATGATATAGGGGCCTTAATAGTTAGGATAGGGTGTTGGGGTTTATTGAGCCATAATCATAATAAGGATCGCCCCCCATAGTGTTGGTAATTATTGAGGCCTCTAGAAACCCTAAACCCTAAAGCCCTAAGCCTAAACCCTAAATCCTAAACCCAACTCTAAACCCTAAACCACTGAGTATCCGCTTCCCAGGACACCGATGTCCTACGAGTAAGCCTACATATGTTCTGGGGCCTGATTGATGAGACTGGGGCCTTAGAGTTTATGTTTGGATTTAGGGATCAGAGCCTACGATGACGAGAACAAGACTTGCGAATACAAGGCAGTCAGGCGACCAAGTCAATCCTAAACCCTCAGCCCTGGTCTTTCTGGGAGAAGCAGAGAGAGACGGGCTGTTGGGTCTTCACCCATTTAAGAAGAACAGTTCCAAGTCCTTCCAATCAAGACATCTATTTCAGACTGCCTTTGGCAGAACCCCTAAACCCTCAGGCTTCAACTTTTTAACCCCGAAGCCCCTGAACCCTCCCATTTGGCAGTCCCAAACCCTGAACCCTCAACGCCTAAACCCGTAAACCCGAGGAAGTCGAGGAGCCACCACGGATCTTGAAGGACGAAGTCCTGTGTGCTCCTGTGAATGCCGTTTGCATGACGGCTTCGTTTTTTGTTGAGGGCCTTTTGCAAAGTGTCTGCTCGATACCGGGCATCTCCCAGTCTGTTCACGGTTCAGGGGTTTCGGAGCTCACAACTCCGACAATCAGAGGTTTAGGGGATTGGGTTTTGGGACCGGCGTAGCCGGCTGGTTTGGGATGCCGCGCTGGGTGTAGAGGCTGCGTGCTACGAGTATAAAGCGCCGGCCTCCGCAGGACTCGGATTTCAGATGCAGGGCTCACTTGAGAGTTTGAGGTTAATTACCGTTGCCTCCATGGATGCAAAACAGCGGATCCTGAGACTTTCAGCACAAGCGTAAGTGCACTTAGGGAGAGCCCCAGCAATTGGGAAGGAACCATAAATACCGTCACAACAATGACAGTCATGATGGCAAACGCATGGCCTGACCTCTACAGGCACATGTGTTTCCCCACATCGGTCAAGCCCTAAATGTCATAAACCGAAACATGTTGACAACTGAGCACTTCTCAGACGACACCGTCAAGGACTAGCAATCAAGTTGTGGTTCACTGCGGAGACCCTTTGCTGAATTGCTTTAAGTACATGGACAGACACTCACATGTACAAGCTCGCAGAAACCCTCTGAAACACCTCCGTCGGGTTCGTGGAGTTGCTACGCATATCTACGCATCATAGAACACACCTGTTGCGACAAGTAGCTGCGAGTTGCTTTGCTATGCTATATGAAATATTGAAGCACAGATGTTGGACCGAAGTCAAGACCGCAAACCTGTCCTACAGTATAAACTCGCTCTGCATTGGCCGCAGGTTCGGCAGAGTAGCAGTCTGTACCAGATGAACCCCTAAACCCTAAACCCTAAACCCTAAGTCAAGGCCTCGGTGCGGCGATTGCCGCACCATCCTCAAGCAACAAAAGCACGATCTCATCATGACCTTTGTCAGAAGCCCTCATCAAAGCCGTGTGCCCGTCGTTGTCTGTCAGATTCTTGTCGGCACGGGCATCCAGCAAAGTGCGGACGATGTCGACATGACCGGAGCGAGATGCCCTTATCAAAGCTGTTCGGCCGAAGTTATCTGCCAGATCCTTGTTCGCACCAACCTCCAGCAGCAGGCGCAGGCTTTCGACATGACCGGCGCAGGATGTCCGTATTAAAGCCGTGTATCCGTACTTGTCTGCCAGATCCTTGTTGGCACCGGCCTCCAGCAACCAGCGGACGATCTCGACATGACCTTGGCCGGATGCCCGCATCAAAGCTGTGTACCCAGTGTTGTCTGCCGCATCCTGCTTCGCACCAGCCTGCAGAAGCAAGCGAACGATTCTTACATGACCTGCGCCGGAAGCCCTCATCAGAGCTGTGCGGCCACCCTTGTCTGCCACATTCAAGTGTGCGTGGGCCGTCAACAACAAAAGAACAATCCGAGAATGACCTTCTTCGGAGGCATGCATCAAAGCTGTGTAGCCGTCGTTGTTTACCACATCCTTGCTGGCGCCGGCGCAGAGCAGCAAACGGACAATCTCGACATGGCCTGCACGGGAGGCCCTGATCAAAGCTGTGCGGCCGATGTTGTCTGCCAGATCGGTGTTGGCGCCGGCCGCCAGTAGCAATTGCACGATCTCGACATGACCTCCGCCGGATGCGGTCATCAAGGCTGTGCGGCCGATGTTGCCTGCCATATCCTTGTCGGCTCCATCTTCTAGCAACATGCGAACGATCTCAACATGACCTTTGTCGCAAGCCCTCATCAAAGCTGTGTAGCCATCGCTGTCTGAGAAATCCTTGTGGGCATTGGCCTCTAACAGCAAGCAGACCATCTCGACATGACCTGTGCAGGATGCGTGCATTAAAGCCGTATACCCTGCGGTGTTTGCGAC